TCGTCTAACCTTTATGCACATATGAACCTTGTAGCAACCAAGAAATTGGTTTAGCAATGTTCGTCAGTGAGAAAATGATGTTATTTCTTTGTTTAAAAGTGGAACCCAAGTCTGCCTTGTGGGCAGCTGATTATTTCATTGTGGGTTCTATGAAAAGCACTATTATTTGAGTAAATATCATCCTGTCCCATGAAGCTCCAGGGTCTCTGTTTATATTTTACAGAACAGAGGTTGATAAACTTATGCTGTAAAGGGCCAGGTAGTGAATATTATAAGATTTGTGGGTTAAAGCCTCTCAGTTCTGCTATTATAGTATAAAAGCAGCCTAACCTGTCTGTAAACACATGAGTGTGGTTGTATTCCAGTAGGTTTTTAGAAATAAAAACTGATGTAGACTGATTTGGCTTGGGGGCTGTAATTTGCAAATTTCAGCTAGTAGACATTGAGAGATAACTAAGAGTAATGAGTAGGAACGTAATCACTGGCATTGGATTTGTGCCTCTTTCATTGGAAGACATATGCAAGTACTTGCATAGTGGCTAAGAGTATCTACTCATTGTATTACATGAGAACTGAGGAAGGTAATGTCTATAAAGAGTCCTTAATGATAAGGGTATTGGGAATGACTTTAGGCACTTTGAAAGGTAGAGCTATTGTGAAGATTTTTGCTTGCTTTTTTTCAAGCATGAAGTCTAAATGAAAAATATATGTGGCCTTCCACAGCTGCTGCGAAGGTCACTGTTGTTGCAGAATGCGGTGGTTTTCACAGCTGAATAGGTGAACAGTGCAACTAAGCGGAACCAGTTAGACTAGTCAAGCCAAAAAATAAAGATAAGGTTAAGTATCGACTTTGCTTTCCTTTGCTTTTAGCTTTTTATAGCAAAGATTAAACTGGTTGATGGGGAAGAGCATGATCAGTAAATCAGCCCTACTTAAGGGTCTGTAGTTCATCATTTGGCAAAGCATTGTCAGCCAACCACTTGACATTGTTCTAGGCAGCATAAAAGGGAAGGAGGTACAAAGACGCCACAGATCCACTTCTCATCCTGTAAAAGCTCAGCCTAGTCCAGAGGTGTAGGAAAAGGTGTCAATAACCACATGCAATGTAGAATGGGATTATGGCTGCCCGCATGTATTAGTTATGCAGATTAATTAGTTTCATTTTGCAGATCAATTTCTCTTAACCATTTTCACAAGGTGCTTTATAGGTGTTTGTTTTAAATCTATAATCCAATAAGGATTCATGTATTCTATTTAATTATCAGGTCTCATAATCTTAATTGATATTATCACAGTTGAGTTTTAAAATTTTTAAAATTTTCTGTTTATTAAATTTATTGGTACATTTTAGGTATATACGATGACTACATTCATTATAGGGAATTTGTACCTATACATAATTTAACTTGATTCTTTTTTCTTTCTATTTCTCTCCCTTCCCCTCCCCTCAATCCTGTTTTCCCTCCCTATTTACAAAAGCTTTGTTTTCATTTTTCCTTTTTATTCTTTTTTCTTTTCCCTTTCATTTTGGGAGCCCTTTGAATATTTGTTTTTGGTGTGGAAATGAATGCAGTAAGAATTGTATGTGTGTAACTATTATATTAATGTAAATCTGAATAGACCAAGACATGTTAACTTTTTATGAATCTGCCACTGGAGACTAAAGTTTAAGGAAATGAGTCTTGGTTATCAAGTTGACTAGGGGTTGATTGTGGTGGATTAACCAATAATCAACTTGTAACTCTTAGCTAAACTGAGTCAGGGTGGTTCTGGGTGTGGAAAGCCCACCTGAGGATTGTTGCCAGCGTAACAGCAGAACTGGAGGGGAAGATGGTGTGCTGTTGATTCCTCCTGGAGAAGCTTGTCACACTGATTTTCCTGTTGTGAACTCAGCTGTTCTCATCATTAGAGGAGCTCAAGTCCTTGCTGTCACTGAGGATGGCTGTGGTTCTCTTCAGGGGAGCTCTGGTCGCTTACTGCTTCCAGTCAAATCCTTCAGCCTGCTAGCACAGATCCTTCTTTCTGTTGGCACAGACTTTCCAGATTCCACCACTGACCTTTTGGCTTTCCCAGTGCAGACCCTTGATAGACTTGCATGAGACATTGTTGTAGGTGCTAGGCCTCCAGTTGCGCCCATGGAAGATATTGCCATGGGCTCTAGGTCTTCAGCTGGACTTGCACAGGACACTGCTATATCCAGGCACTCTGTTGGATTCTTTGAGTCTCTAATATGTGGACAGATTTCCTGCACTCTTTGGCATTTGACTCTTTAGGTGAATATAATGAAAGAATACTATAAATTATATGTCTTATATTAAATTTATTCTCTTGCAAACCCTGACTGCAAACAAATTGGTACTAGGAGTGGGGAAAAAGGAACACTTCCACACTCCTAGTGGGAGTGGAGACTCGTCTACCCCTGTGGAAATCAGTGTGGCGATCCATTAAAAAACTAGGACTAGTGAGCTTCCATTCAACTCTGCTCTTCCTCCTCTTGGTATCTTCTCAGAAGAATTAAAAGCATCATACCACAATGATATACGTACATCCATGTTTATAGCTGCACAATTTGTAATAGCTAAATTTTGGAAACAACTCAAATGCCCATCAATAGATGAATGGATAAAGAAGATTCAAGGTTTTTTTTTGAAAGTACCGTGAAGTACTACTCTTCCATAAAGAAGGATTACTTTAAGACATTTCTAGGTAAATGGATACACCTTGAGGCCATACTCTTAAATGGAATAAATTGGACACAATATGTAAATACCACGTTGTTTCTCTGATGTGAGATTAATTTATAAGTTTATTCAATTTATAATAGATATTGTGAAGTAGGAAGAAAATGTTCAAATGGGAAGGGAATCTAGGGAGGGGTAGAGGGAAAGGAAGGAAAGCAAAACATACTATTAAATGTTTAGGAATTCAGTCTAGCCTTTTTAGTAAGTTCCAGCCATAGATTTCTCTGATTGTCCCCTCACTGTAAGATTCAGGTTAACCATTTTGGGAAGATACTACACTGAGGGTACTACATCCTTCCATCAAATCACAATCAGGACAGTAACTTATCCAATTATTTGTTAAGTTTGATTCCTTGCTTCAGGTAGTAACTGTCAGATCTGCCCATATTAGGGTATCTTTCTCCCTGTATATATCATATGTAATCTGTGGAGTGAAATTTTCTGTTTCCCAGTAACTTCCGTTGTTTTTTTGAGATCGTTTCACCATTTAGTGTAATCTGTTTTTGAACTCAGTGATTCTCCTGCCTCAGCCTCTCAAGTTCTGGGATTACAGACATACATCACCACACCTGAGTCCCAAATGACTTTTGATTTTTCTATTTGCTGAAATAGTCCATTCATTGGTGATTGCAAGTACTGTTTTTCTAATTCTATTAGGCTTTTCACATATACTAGTTGACATTTTTAGATAAAGAAGATCCTTTCTTAGGCTTTTTTAAGTGTCCTGAGGACTCATAGATTCTTTTATTTATTATGTTATGATTTATTATTGTGTTTTTTGAAATGAAGACTTCTATCTTGAGGTATGGTTCACACAGTGAAATGTGTAAGGATTAAATATACAGTTTGATTCATTTTGACAAATGTATATGCCGTGTATACCCAGTCAAGATACATATTTATGACCACAAAATGGTTCCTTTGTAGCTTTCTCTATCATTCTGTCCCTGTACTGATCTCTTTTCTTGCTTGCTTTCTTTGATTTTTAAATTGTCCCAAATATTGGCAATGAAAGCCCCACCCATTTGGTTCTGCATTCTTTTAGCATGCCTTCTTTTTTTTTTTTTTTTGTCTTTTTCCTTTTTATCGGTACCAGAGATCGAACTCACCACTGCCTGCTTGTAAGGCAGGCGCTTATGCCGCTGAGCTAAATCTCCAGCCCCCTAGCATGCCTTCTTTAACCTGTGAGCACTTTCTTACTTTCGTACAAGAAAGTGTCTGGTTTTAATCTTTTTAACAGCTGAAACCAATTGTAGAGATGTTACTTAAAACTTTTGGGGAGTTTTATGAAACAGGATCTTGCTATGTAGTTGAGGCTGACCTTAAACTCAGGCTGGCTCCAAACTCGGGGTGATCCTCCTGCCTCAGCCTTCCTAGTACTGGGATTACAGATGTGAACCGCTGAAGCTGGTGGGATGCTATTTTAATAACTTCTCCATTTTTAAGTTCTGTTATAACAATGCACAGCAAATATCTTTGACACATATTTTGGTATACTTACGTGAACATTTTTGTAGGCTGGAGCTCTAGAAATGATATTTATAGTCCAAAGAGTAGGGGCATTTATAGGTTTGATTGATATTGCCAAATCCTTCCCTCTCCTCTTAGAAAGCTGTGTATACATACATATAATTAAATTTCTACTAATATTGCTGCTTTTCCCACAGCCCCACCAATGCTGAATTTTTCTATGTGTATGCAGTGTTGCAGGGTTTGAAATTGGGTTTATCCTTGAACAAAGCAAATGTGGAAATCACAGGCACCTTCTTTTTGCCTCCCCCCTCCCGTTTTGATTTGCATAGAAATGAAATCTCACAAGAGAGGTTAAATCCAAAGAGAAATTCTTGTCCTTCTCTGTCATTCATTGTCACAGCCAGCTTTAGGCAGAGGGGATTCTTACTGTTTTCATTCTGTATTAACTGCGTGGGAGATACGTGAGGAAGGGTGGCATTGAGGGGAGGATGGCATTGTCACCGGGACTTTTGATCCTCTTAAGCTGTCTTTATACATTTGATTCACGGTTACTGCTCTGCATCTCTACCTTCAAATAGCTATTGAAACTGATTTTTATTTCAGAATAAACCACAGCGATCCTACATTTGGTACAGCAGGCTTATCATTTTGTGCTTTCCCCTTTCAGCCAGCTTATAGACAAGTCCTTTCTGTTTTTATTTAAAATAGTGAATCTTAGGCTAGACACCTTTAATTTGTAGCTTTTTTTAACAAGTTGTTTGAAAACTTTGTCTCTTTTCTTTATAGGTATTTGAAGCTGTGATTTCATGGATCAATTATGAGAAAGAAACTCGTTTGGAGCACATGGCGAAACTGATGGAACACGTCCGACTTCCTCTCTTGCCTAGGGACTACCTAGTCCAGGTGAGCACTTGTTTTTCCCCCAGACCTCCCGGAGCAGCAGGGGCAATCCTGGCTGTGCATGGTGGTAGAGGAGTTCAATGGATCTCTGCCAGGGCTGAGGGCACAGGCCACTGGCTTAAGTATGAGCTTTGGTGATGAAAATTTGAAGAGCGCATGGGTTTGAGAATGAGATTCTGAGGTTTCAGTTTCAGCTTTGCTACTTTTTACCCTTGAGTTCTCACTTGAGCCTGTGTCTTCTTTCTAAGTCAGGTGATACAGCAGAGCCCACTAGGACTGTGCTGGGGACTAAAAGTATCAGTTTGTAAGCCTTATGTTTAGTGTGGAGCCTGACATTCCAAATGCTCAGTACAAATTAGTAGCTTTTCTTACAGAATACCAAAGCAAGCAGGGTCATTCTTACAATGTTTCTGTTTCCACTTTTTACTTTGGTTTTAGGTAGATTGAAGCCCAAGTCGGGACTGGAAAACCCAGCTCCTCGCATGTGTTTAGAACACCTACTCCTACTTCCTCTAGGAAAGGAAAGAAAAAATAAAGAATTAAGGGGTGCCCTAATAGTGAGATGTTTTCTCATCAATTCTTATAAGTCTTTGAAGCAAAGATTGTAACCCTGTTTTCACAACTTTGGGCCTTGAAGGTATGGGGTTGTGATTGAGCTGGGGCCACCGCCCAGTATACAGGAAAAGTCAGGATTCAGACCCACATAGTAGCCTGGCTCTGAGGCTGCCACCCTCTGTTCTGTGCACCCATTACATGACTTGTTTGCCCAGTAAATGCCATTAGACGCTCTTAGAAGCAGACAGAAATCAAGCCTTAAAATATGCGAAACAATTGAGACAGAGAGGCGTTTTGCCAGCCCTTATTTGTCCCTGTGAGGTCTCCATAAGGAAAGGACGATGTGGTACAGGATTAAGAGAGGACGTGGTAGCCTGACTCCCCTTTTCCCTGACAGGTTATCCCCTTAAAATCTTAGTTTTCTCATCTGGCTAAAACAGCAAGTGACCTAATAGGATTTTGGTTGGGTGGGGACACAAAAAGAGATAATCCAGAAAAGTTTATAATACAGTGTTGAATGAATGCTAGTTGATGTTACTGTTATGCTTAGGATTATGGGTGGCATCATATTCTTATGAGCACATGTAAAGTGACACTTTTGACACTGTTGGCTCTGGGGCTAGGGGATCAGTGAAATGGTCTTTGAAGATCTGTACCTCAGCCTTCTTCACAGGTGCTGCTGGATGCTCTTGTGATCTTTAAGGCTCTGCAAGCGACTTCGGGCAGCGCTAGTGCCACCTTGTGGCATCGTATCCTCCCTCTAGAAAGCACAGCCCTGAGCTCCCTGTGTCACTGTCACACCTTTCCTGCTGCCCTGTGGGGAACTGACCTTGGATAGGGTGGGTGTTTGTCCCCTCTTCTACAGGGAGGGGGCACAGAAAAAGCAAAAGAGGCCTTGGAGACCTTTGGTTACAGCCTCCATCAGGTATCCACAACTGAAATTTCATGAAGACATTAGGGAAATAGCTCCTGGGTTTTCGTGGCAAGTGGTGTTTGAATCTGGAAAAGAAAGCTATGGGTATGAGTACTGCAGTATGGGAATCCCTTTTTTAAAAAGTGCTTTTCTCAGCCTTAGGGGGTGCATACCTCTGGGAGAGGATGTTCATTAGCATTCATTTGACCTTGAAATTTCAAACAAATATGGCCTTCTGGGGGATGGCTGTTCATAGACAGGAGGAGGGGAGGAAGAGGAAACACTGGGTAGCCTGATTTCTGGGCTTTGGAATAGCTAACATTTGTCAGGCTTCTAGTAAATATTTTCAAATGGTGTTCTAACTGTGTAGCATACTGTGTTGTGAAGAAATATATATCATATCAACTTTGTGGTTTTGACTATTTTAAGTAGTTGATTTAGCAGTATTGATTGCATTCATAATGTTGAATAACTGTCACTGTGTCCATTTCCAAAACTTCTCATGCTCCAAATTGAAGCTTAGTACCTGTCAGAGGCAACTACTTGTATTTTGTTTTATATAAATTCATTTAAACCTCAAAAAACAAAACTAGTGAGGTTGTAGATACTTTTAAGGAGCCTATTTTAAAAATAAGGAAACTAAGCTTCTGAGATGTTAAGGGTTGGTGCTGGGATTTGAGCCTCCACCTGATGCCACAGTTGATCACTTAACCCTTATGCCCTTGATATCCAGAAGTTGAGCACCAAGCTACAATTCTGTGGACCCTTCCCTGGGTCTGAGGCGATGTGGCCCGGGAGGGGATGAGAGCTCAGGACTGAGCCAGCCCAGGGACAGAGCTTGGGAATGTGGCTGAGCTCTGCTTGCAGATCACCTGTGGGTTGTTACCTCCAGACAGTGGAAGAAGAAGCTTTGATAAAGAATAACAACACCTGTAAGGATTTCCTCATTGAGGCCATGAAATACCATCTGCTCCCTCTGGATCAGAGGCTCTTAATTAAGAACCCCAGGACCAAGCCCAGGACTCCAGTCAGCCTGCCCAAGGTAAGCCCCAGACCAGTCCCTGCTGTGGTGGAGGCTGCATCATGGGAAGGAACGTGGCCCTCCACCGCCCCTACTCTCTCCTCATGCATGGCTGCCCTGCATCTTGGTTGCATGTACCAATGCAGGACACAGAGTCTACCTATTCCTTTTGATTGTTGTTCCTCTTCTTCTGGGGTCTTCCTTTCCTTAGAGTTTTCAGGTAACCTTCAGTGTCACCAGGGAGGTTGAGAATAACTCAGAGCTTTCCCTTCTCCTCCTCTTCATTTCACTCTATGGCTTATACCATTTCTGTTAGAAGTAGCAGAATGTTTTCACTTAGTGACCGATGGCCATAACAGTCGTAGTTGTAGGTCACTGTTTGAGTCTGTAACATTACTGTCTGGTTCCTTCCCTTACCATAGGGAGCAACACAGAGGACAATTGAGGCTACCAGCGGGGAGGCTGGGCCTTGAAGAGTCCCACAGGTAGTGAGCAGAGGGATGCAGTGGGGGAGATGAGAACTAGTGTAAGGGCAGGAGAGGTAAGGGAGAGATTAGCATAGGAGTGCACCCCATGATTGAGAGTCCGCGCTGGGTCCTGACTGCCTGGTTATCAGAAGAGCCTGTGTGCCCCTCAGATCCCTTATCTGCAGAGTGAGGGAGGTCTTTTCAGTCTTGGCATCCCAATGAATCTTTCCAAAACCCTAATATCCCAATGTCTGCAGGTAGGCTCCAGTCAACTCAGGAGAGAAGGGGGAGGAGAGAGGTGAGTTGCGTGGCTGGTTGAGGATGCAATAGGCAGCACCAGGAGATGGCTACTGTATTTTGGCCTTTGCTTTGTCCATCTCTTCTCCCCAGCTGGCTGCCACCCTCCTTGCCTGCCTCTTCTAAGAAGGTTTCCCAGGATAGAGAACAATGTTGTTGTCTGAGACTAGCTGTTGTGCCTCTCTGAGGATTGCCGTTTCTTCTTTTTCTTCTGCTCCCTGGCCCTGGAGGACAGTGGTTGTGATGTGATAAATGTCACAAATGTCCCGGGTAATCATACTGGCAGCCGATTTTTATTAAGTGCTTGTTATGTGCCAAGCTTTTAGCTGATGGTATCACATGCGTGTCATGTCTCACTTGAACTTCTCCTAAAAGGTGGAGGCAGTTATTACCCTAAATCTACAAGGGAGGAAACAAAGTTCTTGCTGCACCCTACCAGGCCTTTCATTTTGATTTGTTTTGTTGAAATGTCACATTAAAATTTCTGCATAGTTTTCAAAATTAAAATAACTTAATTGTCATGAATTCTAGAAATAGGTGCTCATTGTAGATTTTTAAAGGGATACTGTAATTTAGAAATGAAGTAAAAGACACTTGAAATGCCCTCCATAGACAGTTATTTACCACTTTACTGAGCTTTCCTTTAGGTGGATATATTTCCATATAATGTTTTACAAATAGGTAAAGATGCGTACTTTTGGGTAAATGAGATCTTGGTATACATATTGAAATATTCCCCCCACTCAACTGTATGCTTCAAACTGCTTTCCAGTAAAGATAAAATCAGCATTTAAATTGTAAAGGTTACATGGTAGTACTGTATTTAATTGTATTTCTGTACCATTATGTACCTAATTGTCCTCATTGATGTACTTTGCAGTAATTTCCATTTTTTTTGTATTACAAATACTTCTGTGTCAAATATTCTTTATAAAATGACATCTTGTTTAGTTTGCATTTCTTTAACTGTGAGAGATTATTCTTAGTTTCATATGATGTTGGCATTTGTATTTTTGAGGAAATTCTCTGTGACTTTTGATCATTTTTCTATTGGATTGTATGTTTTTATTTGTAATTTTTGAGGGCATTTTTACATTAAAGAGGTCAGGTCTTTGTATGTATGCACCACAAATAGTTTTTTTAGTTTGCTGTTTGCTTCTGAACTTGTTTATATTTTCTTCTGAACAGTGCCTTGTCTTTTTATTTTCTTAGCAGTATCTTTGAAACAGCAGACTTTTTAAGACATTTTAAAAAATTGACAATAAAAAATTGTGTGTGTGTATATATCATGTGTGTAAATTGTGAAGTAGCTAATTAACATATGCATTACCTTACATACTTAGGTGTGATGAAAATATTTAAAGTTTACTTTTTAATGATTTCAACAATAAATATGTTGTTATTAGCTGTAGTCACTGTATTATAAAATAGAGCTCTTGAACTTATTCTTCCTATCAAACTGAAATTTTTACACTTTGATCAACATTTCCACAGACCACTTCCTTTCCCCTCAGCTCCTGGTAACCATGATACTACTTTCTGCGTCTATGAGCTTAATGTTTTGAGATTCTGCATACTAAGTGAGACCATGCAATATGTGTCTTTCTGAGACCACTTTTTTTCACTTAGTGCTGTGTCTTCATGGTGTAGCCATGTTGAAAATGGCAAGATTTTCTTTTTTTAAAAGCTGAACACTATTCCAGTATGTATATAGATATTTTCTTTATCCATTGCAGGACACAGGCTGAGTCTGTGTTTTACTATTATGGAGAAGGCTGCTGTGAATACAAGGAGTAGGATATTTTCGATACACTGATTTAAGGCCCTTTAGACATATGCTCAGTGGTGGGATTGCTGGATCATTAGGTGGTCTTATTTTTACTTCTCTTGAGGAACTTCTATCCTCTTTTCCAAATGTCTGTATATACTCGGAAGAATGGAAGTTTTCAATTTTGTTTTGCTATGGTTTATATTGTTTTGTCTAAAAAAAAAAATCTTTGCCTAACCTAAAGTCACAAAGATTTTCTCCTATTCTCTCTTTTGGAAGTTTTAGGTTTTATATTTAGATGTATAATCCACTTTGAGAATTAATAATATATATGCTAGACAGGTCAAATTTCATTTATTTTGCATTTGGACATGCAGTTGTCCCTTTTATAGGAAAGATTCTTCTTTTTGCCTTAGTTATCGTGCCATTTTTGTTATAAATGGTGGCTATTTCTAGATTCTATTCTGTTCCATATATCTATCTGTCTTTACATTATATTGTATTGCTTGTTACTGTCTTTGTAGTAAGTCTTGAAATAGTGTGAGTTTTTCAGTTTTGTTCTTTACAGTTGTTTTACTATTCTAGGTCCTTTTGAATTTCATTCAACTTGTTTATTACTACAAAAACATTGTGGGGGTTTTGATTAGAATTGTATTTAATCTCTAGATCAGTTAGGGGAATTGCTGTCTTAGGGTTAAGTATTCTGATCCCTGAATGCAGTATACTTTTCCATTTATTCAGGTCATCTTTAATTTCTCCCAAGGTTTCATAGTTGTCCACACACAGGTCTCATATCTCTTTTGTCAGATTTATTCATAAGTATTATTTAGTTTTTGATACAATGATAAATGTTTCCTTTTTAAATTCTAAATTTAATAGTTTATTGCTTATTTGTAGAAATATGATGGATGAGATGGTCACTTAGTGGGGAAGGAAAAGTCAGGTTGATGATGACTTCACTGGTTTCTGAGCCTTAGGGTCGGTGGTTCCTGGAGATTGCTGCTTACCTCAGGCTGATACTTTGGATAGGTATTTAGGGCTCTCTCCATGAGTGTTACCTCCTCCACCAAACTGGTCTCCATGACAGCAGGTATTACTTATCGGTGTCCTTGGCTCACAGCCCAGATCCTGGCACTGGGTGGGCAATAGTAAACATTCATGAATGAAAAAGACACATTTTTAAAGTAGTATCTTTATGGAAATTTAGTGTTGGCCATTTCTATTAGCCCTTCTGTTTCCCACCATGCTTTTGGTATCCATACATATTTTTTTTGCATGGTATAATAAAGACTTATGTTCTACTTTATATCCTCCTTTGATCACTAATGTAGGTGGATCCTAGCATACTTTGGTTCAGTGCATGGAATCATCCAGCACTGAATGAGTCCAATCATGATTCTTGGAGGATTAGAAGAATTATGAGGTACTTAGATTAAGCAAACAAATACCCCTCCCCCAGAACTCAGCTGTAAACTATTGTGAATGCTTTAATTTAATTCATTAATATATTAATTTGCTCATCCAGCATGCTTGCATAAAAAAATTTCCAGACACAGAAGCTCACATGAACTGGTTCCTTATTCCAAGGGACTCCTAGATGGGGGTAGGGGGGTAGATAGATGTGAAAGGACAGTTTTAGTGCATCATGTAAGTAATGTGGTAGGGATGGGATGAGGAAACACTTTCTGCTGTAGCTTAGGCCTGAACTGAGTCTTCAAGGTTAAGTGCAGACTGTGAGAGCGTGCATCCAGAAACTGTTGGCTTCTCAGAGTAATGTACACTTTGCATATTGCCTCTCTCTGGGTTTTTTCCTTTTCCGCCAAAAGCATCAGTGATGATATGGTAGTACAATTTAAATTCCCATTTGCTGAGCAGTTTCTTTGTGTTTGAGGGTGAATACTAAATATATCTTATCTTCATAACGAGTCTGGAAATTGATGTCGGAGAAAACTGAGATTCAGTGAAATTGAGTGACCTGCCTCGGGGTTTGCTGCTGTTGGGTATCAGTGCAAAGACTTGCACCCACATCTGCAAGCTTTGATGCCTAGGGTTTAAGTCCTGTGCCATACTAATCCCCACAGTGATGATAATAGAAGATCTCAGTTACTGAGCTTTTATCATGTGCCAAACATTGATCTAAGTGATTTATATTTATTATCTGATAGGATTTTCATAAATATAATTATCCTCATTTCATAGGTAGGAAGATTGAATCATAGGTTACATTATATCACCTACTCATGTATTTATTGTTCTTTACATTACAAGTTACCCTAATCTTGGTGGTTTAACACAACAAACATTATCTCAGTGTCTGTGGGCAAGGCATCTGCTGTGGTTTAGGTAGGTTGTTCTGGCTCTGGGTCTCTCACAAAGTCAAGCTATTGGTCAGGACTGTAGGCATCTAAAGTCTATTTCAGAGGACTCACTTCTGAGCTTGCTTCCATGGCTACTGTAGACAGCAGTTTCTTACTGCCTGGGCCTGTCCT